AGGCGCTTCAGCAGCCAGTGCTGCTTCCTCCGCAGGCCCGGGTTCAGCCGCCCCAGCCGTGGGGCACCATGCAGGTGCAGCAGCTGCCCATTACACAGGTCCACCAGCTGCTTGCTCATAAGGTATGACCAGCAGCTGGTCAGGACCCATGCCCAGCAGGCAAACTTGCACAAGGTCCGCTGCTGTTTCTGCTCCACTTCTGCCATTTTGTCGGTTTTTAGGAAGGCTCTTATTTATTACTTTTTAAATTAAAAAAATTAAAAGTGTTCAGCATAAACAAAATTTCAAGTAATCTAAAAATGTGCAGGATTGAAAAAGTGAAAATGGTATTTCAAGCCCTTCTTTACCCTACCAAGCAAGGCCAGCCCGACTCTCCTGAGGTCAGTGCTCCGAGCACCTTGGTATCTGTCCTTCTCGACTCTTTTTTCTAACTCAGTGCTCTGAGAGGGGCTTTCAGAGTCTTCTCAAGTGAGGTAAGGTGGGAACTGAGTGGGTGAAAACCAGGGTGCTTCAACCCTTGCTGCTTTTACCTGTTTTATAAATTGGGATTCACATAAGATTTAATTTAAGCAGAGAATTTCTCTGCATTAAAAAAAAAAAGTTAAAAAACAATTGGCCAGTGTGGCTCTGTTGGTTGAGCGTTGTCCTGTGCACCCAAAGGTCACCAGTTCAATTCCCCATCAGGGCACATGCCCAGATTGCGGTTTGGTCCTTGGTCAGTGGGGTGCCTACCAGAGGCAACCAATTGATGTTTCTCTCTCACATCAATGTTTCTTTCTCTCCCTCTCCCTCTCTCCCTAAAATCAATCTATAATAATAAAAGCATAATATGCTAATTAGACCAACGTCCTTCCGGACTACTTTCTGGATGAAGCTGGGGCTGCGAGGGAAGCCTGGGTCCCAGGTGCCAGAGGGAAGGTGGTACTGGCAGCCAGGGGAAGGAAGGTCTACTCTGGCATGAATTTTGTGCATCGGGCCTCTAGTAAAAACATACTAAAAAGAAAATGAAAACTGTCTAATTTAGAAAATGTCCTAAGCCCCCTACTCAGCAATTCCAGATCTTCCCCAGGTTATCATTTTACTGCTTGGTCACAAGCCTTTTGTAAAAATGCGTAATTATAATGATGATACTAATTAGCTTACATTTATTGAAGGCTTGATCCACTCTTCTAAGCACTTTATATGTATGAACTCATTTAATCCTCACAGTAACTCCATAAGGAGATACTTTTTTCATGAGGAAACTGACTGTAGAGTCGTAGATCCCACAGCTAGGGAAAATCAGAATTTAAGCCAAAACAGTTTGACCTGGGAGCCCAAGCTCTTAGCTACTATCAATATCATTAGCGTGTTGACACCTCTTGACATTTCATTTTCTGGAAGCAAATAATTTCTCTTAATTTAAGTGTGAAGATCTGATGAATAAGTCACTTGAAATTCCCTCATAAAATCACTCAATGCAAGTGATGTAATTTATTCATCTAATGCAGCGGTTCTCAACCTGTGGGTCCCGACCCCTTTGGGGGTTGAACGACCCTTTCACAGGGGTTGCCTAAGACCATCGGAAAACATATATATAATTACATGTTGTTTTTGTGATTAATCACTATGCTTTAATTATGTTCAATTTTTAACAGTGAAAATACATTCTGCATATCAGATATTTACATTACGATTCATAACAGTAGCAAAATTACAGTTATGAAGTAGCAACGAAAATAATTTTATGGTCGGGGGTCACCACAACGTGAGGAACTGTATTAAAGGGTTGCAGCATTAGGAAGGTTGAGAACCACTGATCTAATGGAAGGGTAGCAAATATCCCAGTAAGCTTTGTGCAATTTCAAACATAGCATAAAGCATTTGCCAGTGATTCCACATGAATAATACAACTTTGAACAGGCAGTTAATAATCTCTTTTTCCAAATGTCATTCATTGAAATCTGTATACTCAGGTATGGGATTTTGATTGTGCATAGATTTCATAATCTGAATTCAGACTCGCACTGCTCCTTAGAACAGAACAGTCCTGTCACAGTCCCCAGGGACATTGCTTAATGGACGGTATAAGCATGTGTTTGAGCATTAGTAAAGGAGCACCAAAAGAGAGAAAAACATTGAAATAATGTAATGTTTTTTAATTTTTGAAGAAACAATGTGGTCATCTTTCTGAAAAAATCATACCCCTGTGACCTGTATTTTGTTTGGAGTTATTATCATTTTGAATTGTGAGTGGTGGATTGTGGGGGAGACATACCATCTATGAGATGGTAACCTGGCCCTTCCTTGGAGCTTGGTGGGGCAGAGACAGTCACCGAGTCACAATCATCTAACAAATACATACGCTATAAATGAAATCATGGTTGTGAAAAACATACAGCAGCATGGTACTGGTCTGAAAGCATTTGTAATGTGCTAATTGAAGGAAGGCTGTTGCCTTTTATTTACTAGAGGCCTGGTGCACAACATTCGTGCACTGGTGTGTGTGGGGGGGGTCCCTCAGCCCAGCCTGCACCCTTTAGCAGTCCGGGAGTCCTCGGGGGATGTCTGACTGATGGCTTAGGCTCACTCCCCATGGGCCTGGGCCTAAGCCAGGGGTGGGCAAACTTTTTGACTCGAGGGCCACAATGGGTTCTTAAACTGGACCGGAGGGCCGGAACAAAAGCATGGATGGAGTGTTTGTGTGAACTAATATAAATTCAAAGTAAACATCATTACATAAAAGGGTACGGTCTTTTTTTCAATAGTTTTATTCATTTCAAACGGGCAGATCTGGCCGTGGGCCGTAGTTTGCCCACGGCTGGCCTAAGCACAGTCGAACGTTCTTAGTGCTGCCGTGGAGCCTCTCCTGCCACCGCCATTGCGCTTGCCAGCCATCAGCCCAGCTTATGGCTGAGCAGTGCTCCCCCTGTGGGAGCGTACTGACCGCCAGGGTGCTGCTCCTGCATTGAGTGTCTGCCCCCTGGTGGTCCGTGCGCATCATAGCAACCAGTCATTCTGCTGTTCAGTTGATTTGCATATTACCCCCTTTATTAAATAGGATTTTATCCTCACCCAAGGATATGTTTTTTGGATCAAACCTGTAACCTAGGTATGTGCCCTAACCAGGAATCAAACCTGCAGCCTTTTGGAGTGCGGGATGACATTCCAACCAACCAAGCCTCTGGTGAGGGCAAGGCTGTTGCCTTTTAGTTGTACAGAGGAACCTTGGCTCTCAAAATTTATTCCGGAAGGCTGTTTGAGAAGCGATTTGTTTGAAAACCGAATCATTTTTCCCCATTAGAAGTAATGTAAATTGATTTGCCCCAGACTCCCAAATGATTTGCTTTTAACCTTTCTTATATATAGTATGTCTGATCTAGAAACAAATACTTCTTTTCTTAAATTTATCTAACCGCTCCCTCTCATCCTTAAATGAATCACTTTCAGCACTTGTTCCAGGGGTGTCTTCCAGGAAGTCAGTACGCAGCATCTTTGCTTTTGTGCATGTCATCATGTGTAAGGCTATCATGGGCTGACTGCTTTTTTGTTTACCCAAATCAACAACAGTTTTTCTGCCTTTTCAGTTGCCTGTGATCATTGTTTCTTTCACACCCTTAGCAACATTAGCACCCCTGATGGCCTCTGTCTGTTTTAAAAATAGTGCTAAAGCTCCATTTCACCAGCAGAGAAAGGAAAACAAAACAAAACACAAAAATATTCACAGTATAGTTCCCTGAGATGTTAATAATGTGAGGTTTTGTGGTAAGCTGACTCATATTCTCTTCTTTGTTTGTGCCCTGCGAGGCACTTTTTGTCATGCTGATGTGTCGGCAGGAAAGGGTTGGCAGATCGGGAACTGAATTATTCAAGATGGGAGATGGAACCCAGGGTTGACTATATTTTTCTCACTGGGGAATGTGTGGAGAGGGAAAAGCAGAAGAGAAAGAAGAAAATAAAAGAGAGAGAGAAGAAATTCTAGGGCTCCTGGGAGTTTTAGAAATAGTACGTTTTAAGTAGCCATTAAGAATAGCTTTGTAGTCCTGGCCAGTGTGCTCAGTGCTTAGAGTATCAGCTGGGCGAACCAAAGGGTCTGGGGTTTGATTCCTGGTCAAGGGCACGTACTTGGGTTGCATGTGTGGGAGGCAACCAGTTGATGTGTCTCTCACATGAATGTTTATCTCTCTTGCCTTCCCTCCCTCTCTCTCTGAAAAAGCAATGGGGAAAAAAATCCTCTGGTGAGCATTAACAAAACACACACACAATCCTCACCAAAAGGTTTGTAGAATAATATTATGAGGAAACATTTTTGACACATTTTGAAATGCAAAAAGTAGGATGGAAGGAAAGCCCTGATAGGCCCTGATTGTCGGCCAGGCCTCGGGACCCTATGTGAGGGGTTCCGGATTATGAGAGGGTGCAGGCCAGGCTGAGGGACACCCTCCCTCCTCCCCACGAATTCCATGCACTGGGTCTCTAGTATACATATATAGAAAAATATGGAAATGTCATCATATACATCAATATGTGATCAGTGATTATATCGGATGGTGGGTTTCCAGAATAAACAATTTTTGTTTATCATTGGCTTTTTTTTCTTTCTTTCTTTTTTTTTTTTTTAGTTTTTGCATTGAACACATATTGCTCCTCTGGGAAAAAAAGGAAAAACAATCCTATATAATAAAAGGCTGATATGCAAATCAACCAAATGGTGGAACGACCGGTCGCTATGCTGCCCACTGACCACCAGGGGGCAGACATTCAACGCAGGAGCTTCCCCCTGGTGGTCAGTGCACTCCCACAGGGGGAGCACCGCTCAGCTACAAGCTGGGCACATGGCTGGCGAGTGCAGTGGTGATGGGAGCCTCTTTCTCATCTCCACGGCAGCTGGACATCCCCCGAGGGCTCCCAGACTGCGAGAGGGCACTTTCTTTTTAAAACTGGCATTTGAATAAAAGAAAAGTGTGCAGCCCTGACCAAAGGGTAGAGGAGAGAGTTGATTACAGGGAGTAAAGGTGGTGAGTTAGGTCATTGTTTCAGTTTGATGCCAAGATAATTGAGTAACATAACACTGTGTGCCGGTAGTTGATCTCATCTGCCTGTAGTCTCTGCTAGTGGGTTTGCGCACTTGAACCCTCTTTGAGCCCGGTGTACCAGGGGACACTCTTGAGGGAAAGTGCAGTTTGGGGAAGGTAGGTCTGGCTTCCTTTCCCTGGGAGAAGATGTGCCAGCGAGGGGAGGAGGTGGGCCACCCCCCGAGGAAGACCTCAGGGCCGGAGCTGCCCTAGTCATCGCCCGATGGAAGGTAAGGCCTTGCTCACCGGCTCCAGGAGAGGGGACAGGAAGGGCCCTGGGAAATGAGAAGTAAATGTTTGAAACGCGGCAGCTGAAGATAGTGAGCTGCTCCTAATCTTAAAATGTAGAAGAAACATTATCACCTGACAGGTGGCAAATCGTTTTGTTTTTTCCCCTCTCACTTTTCTTACAAAGAAAGCTTTGTTTTTCTTTTAAACTTTGACACATTAGCTTCCTTTCTTCCTTTCCCTTTTCTTAAAAAGATTTTAGAACTTTGAGCCCCGGCCAGGGTAGCTCAGTTGGTTAGAGCGTTGTTCTGATTCACCGAGTTTGCAGTTTCGATCCCCGGTCAGCGCACATACAAGAATCAACCAGTGAACACATAAGTGGAACAACAAATCGATGTTTCTCTTTCTCTCTCAAATGAAAATTTAAAAACAAACAAAAAGAAACTTTGACACACTGGCATCCTTTCTGCACCTTAAATTTCTGGAGGCTTTTATTTTCAGTTTAATTATACATAGAGTTGAGTGCATATTTTAATAGGTTCCAGAAGTGTGTTTGCATTTTTAAAATTTCATTCTCTCCAGGAGTAGAAGAATGTATTAGGGGTAAAAGTATGAAAGTATACTTCTGTATAAGTTCTGAGTAATAATTTCTACTCCTTTGAAATGCTGAGGAACTCTAGTTTCTAAATTTAGGTATTTCAGATTATTAAAACAGTAGGGAAATGTTTTATTATTCTTATGTTCACTATCATTTATACAGTGTGTTGCGTCAGTTTATAAAAACAATGCCTACAAGAAATATTGGTTTCAAAAAAAGAATTATAAAACCAGTACCAAAGAAAAGTAGTATAATGTTAAGTTTAATAAATTGATCATAGATTTGAGTTTCAGGTTTAGCTGTAAATTTCCTTGCTGCTAACATTAAAAAAAGGGGGGAGGGGCGGGGGCTCAATCTTTATTACAGAAAAATATAAATACCAGTTTTTAGTAGCATGGCTTTCTGTAGCTATAATTTCTAAATAAGGATTCAAGAGGAGGTGTTGTGTTCTTAGTGGTTGTTTGCAGGAAATGAATGTCAATTACATGTCAATTATAGGAGCAAGTTATTAAATGTTGGGTAGTTTTTAGAAAAATAAGATACAGGTAAGCAGTGTTTAAGATAAAATAAAGGGAAATCTACTTTTTTGTTGTTATTTAAAAGCAGTTTCTCAACTTCAAAACAGAGTTCTCTGATTGGACAACTCCTTTGATATCCAGCCATTCATTGAGTTGTTTCAAACAAACTGATCTTTCCGGCAAGTGTTTGCTGCCTGTATTCTTTTTAAAAAAATCTATTTTTGTACTGCTATCAATTGAACCAGAATACCTAGTTAAATGAACATTTTTTTCCACATGTTTCAGTTGATTGGTTTGATAGGGGCTAGATATAAATCTAACAGATGGCACTTGGCAGGATAAACTGTACTTTGTTTATGGAATACATTTAGTTCCAGGACACACACCATATTTACTCTGTCAACATTTTCTCAATAAGTGGAAATGGTGTAACTGTAGATTGTAGTTTAGTTGATTCATTGTCTTGTGTGTTTTTTTTTAATGTATCTTTCTTCCAAACAAAGCATTCTTTTAAAACTTATTATTATTTTAAAGTGGAGTTGTTATTCTGAGAACAAAATCATTTGTTCTGGGTCTGGCTTCTTTTGAAAAATTATTTGTGCTAATTGAGGATTTACGATACAGAAGGTTTATTAAACCCACAGATGATTTCTCTGGCCTTAAATGAATTCTTTACAAATATTTGGCTGTCTTTTAGGTATATAGGAACTGCAGGATTGCTAAATTTCATGGCATTAGCCTTCTGTGTCAGTGGGCAATCCTAGAAATGAGTGATGGATTTATGGAATCAGCTGGCTTTTGTAGGCCAGTAGCCAATTCATGTCCATAACTTTTCAAGCTTTTGTGTTCGTTAGAAAACATAAGACCACCAATTTCACAGCATTCCAAAATGACTGAAATGGCAGTTAATTGCTTTTTCACTTTTCCCCCATTTTTAACTTAAGAAAGTTTTACATCACTACCTGTTAGTGAAATGAAACCTGTGTGAGTGCTTGAACTCAGTGCAAGTAGACAGCTTCCAGTTTAAGCCAAAGAAGTCTAGGTTTTTTAAAGAAGCTGACTCTGTCCTGGCCGGGTTGCTCATTGGTTAGCAATATCGCCAAGATTTCAGATTTGGTATCTGGTCAGCGCACGTAGAAAAATCAGCCAATGAATTCATGGATAAGTAGAACAACAAATCGATGTCTTCCCCCTGCCCCCCACCCTTACTCTCTCTCTCTCTCTCTCTCTCAAATTAATTTTTTAAAAAAGTAAACTGTATTTCACTCAAAAAAATAAAAAGGAATGGAAATACTTCCATTCCACTTTAGAAGTAAGCCTTTTAATTAGGAAGGACAGTATTTGTGAGGTAGGATTTCTTATATTTCAGTTTCCAAGCACTTTTAAATGGCTGACCAATGATAAAAATTATAGGATAAGGTAAATGACTATAACTCAGCTGTGCTTGGAGCCAGTTGAGACTTAGACCTCATGAGGTTTGTGGGCCAGTTCTTGACGGGGCCTGCCTTCATTCTTTAGAATTGCTTCCCTGGGATAGATAGTTCCGTTTTCTTGCGTACCTAGAGGAAATGGGCAGAAGACATCCACACCCCTGTTTTTTTCCTGGTCATACATTCTTAAGGATACCATGACTTACATCTCTTCCCAGCAGCAACAGTGTATGTAGAGTTCAGGAGATTTCTTTTACATCACCATATTGATCTTTAACTTTTGAGGTTCAAGTGATCTATTAAATATCACAGGAAAAAAGATCTCACCTGTGCTATGTGGGAATTGGCAGTGGAAGACCAAATGGACACCTTTTTTTTTTTTTTAAATCCTCACCTGAAGATATGTTTTATTGATTTTAGAGAGAGGAAGAGGGGGAGAGAGAGAGAAACACTAATGTGAGAGAGAAACATTGATCTGTTGCCTCCTGTTTGTGGCCGGACCAGTATTGAACCCTTAACCTAGGTATGTCCCCTGACTGGAAATTGAACGGACAACCTTTTTGGTGTATGGGACAACGCTGCAGTGAGCCACTCAGCCAGGGCTAGATGCCTTTCTTTAAAAACAGAACAAAACTAAACAAAAATACCTCTTTTTTAAAACTGTGATAGGAAAATTGCTAGCCGTATTTTGAGCACTTAATTTTGATTGTGCTTTCCTCTTTGTACCCTTAATCCTACATTTTTTTTCTTTTTAATCCTACATTAATTTGGATAGATTTCTTTGAGGTAATATACTTTTATGACCTATTGAACAGGTGAAAGTTCTTGGGTGTTGGGAACCATTTAGTACGAAGTGTAGAAGTAGGAAAGCTGAATAAAGCAAATTTGAAACTTGGGAAGAGTAAGAGAATAATTTAGCTGGCTTAGGTAATCTAGTAGAAAACATTGGGTCAGTATGAAATAATTAGTAACCAAAAATAAGCAATGCAGGGAGCTCAGTGGATGAGGATGATGAAACCAAGGGGCTAACAATGAGAAATGATTTTAATAATAGCTGTAGGGCTAGCTCACATGGAGAAAGAGAGTTCTTTAATATGATTCCATAGTCAAGGGCCGTGACCTGCAGAAATGGGGCTAGGCTGTCCTCATGGGTTCTGATGACTTCTCAAGGGAGAAGGGTGTGACAGTGAGGTCATGGCAGGACGGCAGACAGCGTTGTCAGAGTGAACACGAGAAAACCGAAGGGGTGATTACGTAAGAGCTGTTTGGCATCTGTGCTGAGTGGTGATCTGATGGTAAATTCTTCAGGAAAAGGGATAAGGTAATGCAAAAGCTGAGGAGTTCAGATGATGAAAGTGATATCTAAAAAGCTTTTAAAAATTAGCTTTTGCTTGAATGGAAGGATTTAATCATTGAGAGAAATTGGTGAGGTTGGGATCTTTAAAATGAAAATAGTTGAAGAAAACTGAGCAGCCATAAAGTCAGCTTGTTATTTGAGTCCTGCAAAAAGCAAGTTAAATAGACATGATCCTTCTTAACAAACCTGTTATACAATTATTCAGTTAAGTACTTACTGGCTAGTATTCAAAAGAATATACAATGTTCTTTTTTTATGTATAAAACAAGGAAATAATTTGCATAATATAAGTTAAGGTCTCGTTTTGTTTGGCATGATCTCCCTGAAAGCTATTTTTTTAAAATATATTTTATTGAGTTTTTACAGAGAGGAAAGGAGAGAGATAGAGAGTTAGAAACATCGATGAGAGAGAAACATCGATCAGCTGCCTCCTGCACACTCCCCACTGGGGATATGCCCGCAACCAAGGTACATGCCCTTGACCGGAATCAAACCTGGGACCTTTCAGTCCGCAGGCTGACGCTCTATCCACTGAGCCAAACCGGTTTTGGCTCCCTGAAAGCTCTTTTAACTGAGCATATATTACATCCTGTTTGGGAACTCACTACATTTCAGTAATAAACAGAAACATAGAGGATGTGTTCAAAAAGAAAATGAAAGGAACAGAATGCACACTTGCAGAGGGGCAAAAGTGAGAATACGTAATAGTCACAATTAGACTTCTAGGTTATTTTGTGTGTGTACACATGTATGTGACAGTACTGTGGTTTTATGTTTATTTATATAAATCTAAAATATCCACCTGATCAACAACTTTTGTGATTTTTTTCTAAGTGTGATAATTACTAGCAATACATTACATAAAAGCCTTTTTATTGTTATGGGAAGATAGCAAAGTATTAAACTCCATATACTGCATTCAGTAATCTGGCATGACTTAGACCTGCTAACTCACAGCTCTGCTGGATTGTTCAGGTGATTTAACCTTTGCAATGGAACAGGATGCCTACTCCAGCACAAGGGGTAGGTTTCCTCCAAGATACCACTTCAGTAAATCAACACACATACCACACACTTTTTTTTCCAGGAGGCACTGATTTTGACGTGACACAAAGGCTCTGTATGGTCTCTGTGCACAGCGGCCCTGGTACAGTACTTATCTCCCCATCTAACCACAATAGCTTATGCTGAAGTAAGAATACTAGCAATAAGAACAAAAGTATGAACTGGACGTGTCTCTGCATCTGGATCCCAAAGGCCAACCCAGTGTAGACCCTGTGCTGAGCCATGTCCTGCACTATTCTCAGAGAGATGACTCATCAGGGAAACTCCTCCTTTCCTTTCCTTCCCTCCCCTCCATCTTTCTGTTGACCAAGTTTCCCAAGAGCGCATGTTGAGCTTTCTGAATTTTAGGGTGACTGAATGGCGATACAGGGACTGTCACCCTTCTTTCTGGCTCATCTCCATTTCTCTGCATTTCCATGTTGATCAAGCTGATAATTCTGCTTCCTGAAGAGGAAGGAACTGCCTGTATCCATCACTTGTCCTTCAGTGAAAACGATTTGTCTGAAAGCTCAATCTCTTTGAGGTGTGTTTTATGTTTTGTCTGATTAAATATGCCTTGGAGGCAGTGAAATGCTCATTTTTTAAAAAAGAGGTGAGTGGATTGAAGGAAAAGAAACTCAATCTGACTCATTTTGGGCTGCCGGGAATCTCCGAAGTCCCAGACATGCAGCCTGGCCTGTCATTCCGCGGGAGGCTCTCCGGCAGCAGCCCAGCCTTATTTATCCCGCTTTCTGGGGCTGCTTGGTTTCTTCTCTGCTTCCCCCGGACGTTGTTTCCATTCATCTGATTTTCTCTAAACACGGACTGACTGGGTGTGCCCATCAATCTGCAGGTGGCCCAAACTGGCAACTGGTATTTAATCCACTCATTGGATTCCCAGTGCAAGATCACAGGGAGCTTGCACCGACATCACCCAGGGAGCTTAAAAGGAAATATTTATAGGGCTCAGATGTAGAATTCTCAGTCAGTAGGTATGGGGTCCTAGGATATGTATTTTAAGAATGTTTCCCGCCCTAACCGGTTTGGCTCAGTGGATAGAGCGTCGGCCTGTGGACTGAAGGGTCCCAGGTGCAATTCTGGTCAAGGGCATGTACCTTGGTTGCAGGCACATCCCCAGTGGGGGGTGTGCAGGAGGCAGCTGACCGATGTTTCTCTCTCATCGATGTTTCTAACTCTCTATCCCTCTCCCTTCCTCTCTGTAAAAAAATCAATAAAATATATATATTTTTAAAAAAGAATGTTTCCCGGTAGGACTATCCAGACGCCTCCAAAATCACAAGAGGGGAAGTAGGAAAAGGAGGGAATAATGATACAGATGCGCACACCTTAGCCTCCACTTGTCCCCTATCCAAGGAGAAGAGATGGATATTCTAAGGCTTTGAAAGCAAATGTTGAAGAATACAATAATTTTCCTTAAAGGCAGCAGTACCGACAACAACAGTTCTTTGTCTAAATTGGTGGGTAGTCCATTCAGATGGTGGGGCCGTCTGTCCCTTATCAAGTCAGTGCCAGTTTCTTGAGAAACACCCAAGGCCCTTAGAGCCATTGTGATAGATAGCTTTGACAGCATTTGCAGCTGTTCAAATAGGCTCTCTACCCGGGCAGGTGGTTATGTATAACTTCAGGGACAGTTGAAGACATTACATTGGTATTAGTTACATAGAATATGCAAAGATAAGAAAATTTATAACCGAGATTGAGCACAGAAAATAGCTCTGCAGTATATTTCTGCATACAAAGCAGTTATATGGCACAAAGCAGTTATGTGTTAAGTCCAAGAAGTATAATGTATCTGAGGGTTGGTTTAAGAACATATGTGTTTTATTTTTTTAAGGCAAAAGGATTTATTGTGAGGGTTTTAAAGCAAACTTGGCACACAAAGTGGTGAGAAATTCAGTGTGGTGGTTAAAATTAAACCTTTAACATCAGAACTCGGTTTAAAATTAAAGCTTTGTGCTTGACAGTTTCATGAACCAGGGATGAAAGATTAAAACTTATTTATAAAATGGGGCTAATAATACCTATCTGATGGCAATGTTGTGAGGATAGTGTTTTATATCTTTAATTATGAAAACCTTAAGTATCCACATAGTTCATCTGCTTTTTAAAAATTACCTTATCTTTTCTTTTCCAGATTCCATCCCTGTGTGGAACATCTAAACAACTTTTATTAGTGGAAACATTATTTTGCTACAAAATGAATTCAGCATCGTAATTGAAACCAGCATCTGTGTGGTTCTGATTCATCTGCCATGGTTTATGAAGCTTCAGATCTAAGGAGTACAGGGTCTTTTGCGATGACAATATGACTAATAGTAAAGGAAGATCTGTTACTAATAAAACAAGTGGTGGTCCAAGTAGTGGAGGAGGTTTTGTAGACTGGACTTTAAGCTTACATACAGTTCAATCTGATAAGTTTTTAAACTTATTGTTGAGTATGGTTCCAGTAATTTACCAGAAGAACCCGGAAGACAGGCACAAAAAAGTGAACGGCATTTGGCAAGAGGGGTTATCAGCTGTGGCACAGACGTTTGGTACCAGATCCGAGCCACACGTGGAGTATCACAGAGTCCCGGAGCCGTCTTTCCATGGCAATAATGGGCACACGCCGTCCAGCTATAGCCCAAAGTACGACGACTATGCCAACTACAATTACTGTGACGCAGGGGAGACCTCCGAAACGACCGCCATGCTACAAGCTGAGGAAAGGCCCAGTGACGGCGAGGAAGATGTCATCGTGGAAGCAAACCCGAAGCTGCCGAAGGAATCCAGCGGCATCATGGCCCTGCAGATCCTCGTGCCGTTTCTGCTAGCTGGCTTTGGGACCGTCTCTGCCGGCATGGTTTTGGATATAGTCCAGGTAGGCTTTCGTCTTTAGCTTAACTGTCTTTGCTGTTCCAGGTGCTTTATGCAGGCTACGCATCTCAGACACTTACCTTTAGATTTCAGTTGTCCCATAGAATGAACTGACGCTGACTCTGGGTAGAGACTTTGCTCTTTGTAGGTGTTTTCTTGTTTGTTTTCCTCCAGAAGTTGTAAGAGAATAGTCTCATTCTGACCAGGACGTGAGTCTTCATAAAGTTTTACAATAACAAAGTTGGCTTTGAACAATATAGAGAGCAGTGATGGCGAACCTTTTGAGATCGGCGTGTCAGCATTTTGAAAAACCTTAACTCTGGTGATGTGACACATATAGAAGTTTTTTGATATTTGCAACCATAGTAAAACAAAGATTTATATTTTTGATATTTATTTTATATATTTAAATGCCATTTAACAAAGAAAAATCAACCGAAGTAATGAGTTCGTGTGTCACCTCTGACACGCGGGTCATAGGTTCGCCGTCACTGATATAGAGGGTTAAACACAAGATAAAAAGTCTTCCCTATTCCTCATCTCCAGCCCCAACTCCCTTAACCTCTGGAGGTCACCTCGTTCTGAGTTGGTTGTACATGCTTGCAGACTTTTCTCTGTGCACATGTATATACATCTGTGCAGAGGTGTTGTTGTTTTCCAAACATCAAAGTGAAATGCTGTATATATGTATTTTTCTGGAACGTATTGTCATTGCTCAATATTACATCTTGGACACCTTTCCAAATGAGTAACAGAGATATTCTGCATTTTCAAGCGTGTGCTTGCTGTTCCATTGTATGTCTACACCAGAATGTACTTACTCATTCCCCCACGCTGGTGCTATCATAAATGTCCTTATAGACATGTCTTTAGACTCTTTCTAATACCATTTTCATCAGATAGCTTTTTGTGTTACTTTTAGTCAGTTTTTGTTTTATTTTAGCCATTATATCCCTAGCGGTGTCGTTACTATTATCTGTTGTTATTGATCATCATCATCATCATCATCACCACCACCACTGCCACACCATCATCTTTGAAGGATGCATCTCCCCACTAGCACAGCAGAATCCTTAACCCATCATGAAACAGGGACAAGAACATGTTTGTTAGCTTTTTTTGTTGTTTTTTTTTTAAAATATATTTTTATTGATTTTTTACAGAGAGGAAGGGAGAGAGATAGTTAGAAACATCGATGAGAGAGAAACATCGATCAGCTGCCTCCTGCACATCTCCTACTGGGGATGTGCCCGCAACCAAGGTACATGCCCTTGACCGGAATCGAACCTGGGACCTTTCAGTCGGCAGGCCGACGCTCTATCCACTGAGCCAAACCGGTTTCGGCTGTTTGTTAGCTTTTGACAGGGTAAGGGATCCAGGATGCTACTGGAGTCCCAGTGCTGTTTTAGGCCCATCTTTAATTGCAAGGGAGGGCTTTCCTTGAAAAGCCTTTGAACCAGGGTTTTACCAGAGACTGATCTGAGTAAACATTTCCTAAACTCTCTTTCGGCCCTCGTTCTACACCTGTTTTAGAACAACCTCTAGGGAAACTTTGGGGACAAAGTGAGTTTTTCTTTAATTTAACTGATGGATTTAAATTTTTTTCCTCATCTGTCTTGGTATTAATGATGGCTGTGTTCTTGATTATTTTTTGGCATAACTTAACTTGCTTAGTTTATAAAGTCTCTTACTGGGACAGTCACCTCTTAATAGCATTTGTAAAATAGCATTTGTGTTAAGTCATTTGTATCGTCTTTTCAGTTCATAAAGTACTTTAATATGTGTTACTTTCATTATCATGGTATTTCCCAAAGGTCTAGACAGAGCAGATAGTATCTGCATTTCATGGATGAAGAAATGGAGATCTGAAAGATACAGGCCTCATCCAGGATCACACAGTCAGGTTATGAAAGATCCAGGCCTAGAATCACAACTCTAATTTCCAAGTTAGTGCCCTTCTATGATCCTACTAGAGGCCCGATGCACGAAATTCGTGCAAGGGGCTCGTCCTCCGCCACCATGGCGGCTCCCTGGGCCCCTGCCTGCTGCGGTGGCCGGGGGACTCTGCCTCAGCCGCCACCGCCGCCGCCATGGTGGCTGCCTCCTCTGCCTTGGCCCCCACCTGCCACGGGGGCCACCTTGGCCCTCACAGCCCCAGCTTCATCTGGAAGGACGTCTGGCCTAATTAGCATATTATGCTTTTATTATTATAGATTATTATAGATGCTCTGCAACCTTTTTGCTTCAAAACCTCAAATTGGGACCAGAACATGGATGACTTAGAACTCCTGAGGTCAATTCTGAGTCTCATTTTTTGACCTTGGGAAAATCATTTAACCACTCTGAATCTTTATTTCTTCACTAGCGGCCCAGTGCACGGCATTTGTGCACTTTGGGGAGGGTGGATCCCTCAGCCCAGCCTGTGCCCTTTTGCAGTCCGGGAGCCCTCAGGGGATGTCTGACTGATGGCTAAGCAACAGTTGGACATCCTTAGTGTTGTCACAGAGGCACTAGGGGGCAGCTCCTGCATTGAGCATCTGCCCCCTGATGGTCAGTGAATGTCATAGCGACTGGTTGTTCCACCATTCGGTCAATTTGCATATTACCCTTTTATTATATAGGATCTGTGAAATTAGATAATAATATTAATGTACTTTTCCTGTGGGATGGTTGTAATTAGTGTTGGAATCAAGATTCAAACCCATGTTACCTGGTTCTTGAGTCTGTGCTCTTAAGCATGAGTTACACTACCTTTTGCCATCAAAAAGGGGTAAAGTAAACTTTAAGGGTGGAGTGTGTAGCAAGCTAGATGTATTTTGGGATGTAGTGACTATCAGCTATCACTCCCAACTCTAACTGGAGCTTCTAAAGTAACTCAAGGCTTCAGAGCGATGGAGAACGGGGTTAAGCTAAATGTTCACTGATTAAATGACCCGTGTTGTCATTCAAAATGCAAATGCAACGTTGGAAAACAGGCTGAGATTTTTTAGAAATGTCTTTGTTCTGAAATGTGTTGTTTTTCTTTTAAGTGTCAGCAAATTCTATTTTTGTTTTCCTTACAGCACTGGGAGGTGTTCAAAAAAGTAACCGAAGTTTTCATTTTAGTTCCTGCACTACTTGGTCTCAAAGGGAACTTGGAAATGACATTGGCATCTAGATTATCCACTGCAGTAAGTTTTTTCCTGCCTCAAAGTATGTATGTTACCTATGCTGTTTCCGCCTGTTTTGGAGAACCTGTATCAGGAAACATTTTTTTCCCTGTCTGTTTGATACATCTCTAGACCTCGGGGCTATGCGAAGTATTTCTGCTTGATAGGACACCCGGAGTGTCCTCTGGGTTGTCTGATCTGAAAATGACAGGTCCTCCTTATCCCGGGAAGCAGTCGCATACAGCAATGTGCATGCGTTATGTTTTAAGAACTGGTGGATCACCTCTGTAGAACCAAACCCAGGAGGCTTTTTGGCAGGAGAAGAGAGTAAAGAAGAGGTCTTGAAAAACAAAAGTGGCAGCCTTTAAGGGAGAAGGAGGTTATTGGGATGAGAATTAAAAGGTGGCTTTAGTTTCATTGTGTTGGAAAACGAACTTTGTTCTGATAAATATAGTTAAGCATACAAGCATTATGCAACTTGGTAACTTCGCAGAAAAGTGGAAATTTTGGCTGGCTTACCTCAAAAAGAAAATATTTCTAAAAGCAACATTCACACGCATTATGCAGCATTCGTTTCTATTCAAATAATAGATAACACATTAGTTTTGAAATAGGCCATAGTGTAG